TAAGGGGTCATTAAATGTAATAGAATAAACTATTTTTTAAAAATGTGAATACACTTAATCTACCTATGCCATTTAAGGTATTTTAAGGGCAGCTAGTAAGGTATTTCCTACAATGAAATGAGTAGGCCACATGATACTATAGATAATCATTTAGTTTTGTTTCCCAAAACGTTTACTCATCCAGGGTGGACGAGAATTTTGATGTCCATGAAGCGGTATAGAATCCCAAGAGGAGTGATGGTTATCATAGTTTTAATCAGTATGAAATTTATGGAATTTTCAGACATAATCGCACGATTGTGGGAAAAACTCCATTATAAATACATACTATCATTTTAAGCGACCTATACCGACCAAGATCTTATTTAAAACTATCTAACAAATTTTATCACGTATATAAAAAAATAAGGGTATATCAAATTATGCGAAACAAAGAATCAAAAATACAAATTAGCCCATGAGCCAACAATATAAAGAAAATCAAAAGCGCCGAACTAGAGATTTACAACCCAAAGCTCTGAATTCGCGTTCGTAGATAGGGGTTAATGCACTGATAATTGTATAGGCATTACATAATTCATAATAATTATATTCATCAAAACAATACCATAAAAATAAATTTAAATGTGAAATCTTCTGAAATGATGAGAAACACATTCCCCTTTACCAAAAAAGAAGCTGACTTTGAGAATTTGTAATCACTACGGAAACTTTATCACTGAGGTGCGTATTATTATTAAATATCAATAAATTCTAATAAAAGATACAGAGCCCAACACCTCCAAAAAACTAGGACACATAGGCCCAAGCAAACATGACCATCAAGGGATGGAAAGGTAGGATCAAGAAGTCTTCGGCGTAAAGTTTGCAGTAATAAACTAGCATGAGAAAGTATGTTGTCAGTAGTTATGTTCCCATGAAAGTCTAAATTCGGTCTCAAAACTGGCATCATAAACACTTACAAAATAAGGCGGCTTGCCGGAATTAGTAGTATTTAGATTCCAGAGGCCAAAGTGTCCATCTGCATCTCCGCAGCCAAACTAAAATGGAAAAAGTTTTGTTAAGCAAAAATAACAAGATAAGAACAATAAATATTAATTAGTGAGATTAGTGGGATAAAATATTTTCGAACATAAGAAAAAGTAATAAATGAAAAATCGTCTAGAATGTACAGTGAGCATTATTTTAACAAGATTCAAGAATTGTGATCAAAAGATAACGGGATTTAGGGATCGGAAGCTGAGTTTTCCGCTCCATAATCGACGACGTTACTTATTATCGACATGAATGCGGGACGAAAACTAATAAAATCGAAAATAAGTAAAACCGTCAATTGAAATGAGAAATATGCCTGTTCTTATTATTAATATGACTATTACTAGAATCGTCACCACAACCAACAACAACACTAGTAGTAGTAGTAGAGGTTAGTGAAATTGACTAGATATAAAGATCTTTCTCCCTTTTCATCATAAGGATGATTAGCATGGCGGTGGCGATGGAAGAAGTGGCAAACATAAAATGTGATACTAGGAATGAATAAGCTTCGAATTATTGCATTACGAAAAAGATAATGCCTTATATACGAGATCAATCACTGACTTTTCTTCCAGTTTCATCGAAGCGGAGGGCAGTCACCCTAGCGCCTCGAGCCCCAGCAACCTGTTGACCTGAACAGCCCTGATCAGTCAGTACAAAGGTGTTTGTGAGATCGGAAGTAACTGGCGTCGGCTGGGCCCATTCATATAGATGCACTGAGCCAGTGCCTGTGCCACAGATATCTAAATTGGTGGATGTAGAAGTATAGCATTTAGTAAGTCAATGCAAGAAGAAGGCAATAAGAGGTAAACTAACCCCAGTTAAATAATAGTCAGACAGGGACTAAATAAATTTGCCAAAAAAATACCATAAATTAGCAGTAAAATCTAAGTATGATAAGTGATATAAACAATTGAGCTGTGAGTAAGGGAAATACTGTACATAACTTACTGTTAGGATCCAACAAAATAAATAAAATTAAAAATGGAGGAGATTTTGTGGCTAGCGTTCAGCTATTAGAGAAGACAACTTAGATATTAATCGAAAACCTAGACAAGTATGGGTGCTAAAACTCGAAGAGTATAATTATATACACTATTTATCCTAACATACATATGCTGATATCCCAAATAAACATTCCTGCTCCCACAATGAATCTTAGTGAAACAGAACATAGAATATGCAAAAGAATAATTACTGATAACAAAATCCTCAATACACATACGCATGCTCCATAGGATCCAGAAAACCCTAATGAAACCTCAAATACATTTGCTTTTAGGTATACGAACTGGCCCGGGAATCTTCAAAGCTACTGCCTTTATATTACTCATTTTACTATTTAATTAATGTTGGCTTAAAGTGAACTTAAGAAATTCTGTGATTCTCATTTATCATTAATA